TTCAAAATTTGCTAGGCCACAGCAAAAAACATGAATCAAACCATCCCTCACACATTTCATGTGATCGTACTGGTATAAGAAACATATGACAAATTTTACCTTATTTCTTTAATTTCCAAAACGGAATCCTTTGGAATCAATTGTGTTAAGGGTATAAAAACTTCTAAAGAGTTACTGGTGCTTGGTGGAATTTCGAGAAATTCAAAAAAGGGGATGTCTAATCCCTTTGCACAAAAGCACGGTTTATAAAACAATAATTGAATATAAGACTTATAAAATCCTGTGAAAACAAATAAATCAATAAATAAATATGAGATATTTGGAATTTAGATTAAATAAGAGATGTATAACCATAATTTTTATTCTCTTTATCATATAACTTTGGTATAATTTCACTGACTGTAATCATCCATCCAATTTCATCGACTGCTTTATTAGAATAATATTCTAAAAAATACCCTAGAAAGGTTGGATCATCATCTAACGAAAAGAATGATTAAAATGTAAAATCCGTTTACAACTAATTACCAAAAATTTAAATAACCAACCTGAAAACGCCTTATGAATCACATTTTTCTCACCTTCCCATGAATAATATTGTGGCATGTGGAGTGATTTCTCATGCAATAAACTATCTTGATCTGGCTTTATATCTTGTAAAAGTTGTTTGTCGATTTCAAGTTTGGATGCTATACAATCAAGAGCTTTAAAAATCTGTTTCTTTTCGGGATCATCGGCAACATCGGTAGCTTTTGTTTCGTTAAATAATATATATTTTATAAGTGAATATTCCCTCGCTTCGATGAGAATGCTCAATAAATCAAAGCGAAAATCCAATAATCGCCAAACAGTTGGATATAACTTAATGAATCTAACAATAATGTTTCGTGTTTGTTTGACTATCTCTTTGAATTTTGAGTTTTTATATTTTTTTTTTAAAATTTGTGTAATAGACTTTTTTTAAATAAGAATTTGGATTTTGTTTGTATTGAGATGATAGTTTTAGACTTTAAGTCAATAGATTTTGTAGTAATGCGTTTATTAATGCCAATAATTTTATATGGTATTAATAAATAATTATATCAGATATAGTTTCATATAAATTTGATTTCGATTAACGTTTTGCGAAAAATTTTGATTAACTATTTCGATTAACCAATGATGTTTTTGCAATATCACGGGATGATCTACAAAAATCAGCCAATTACAATGAAAGCCCGCTATGCTCATTACCATAGGATGGAGTTGATAAAGATCAGAAATCGTGATTTTACTGGAGTGTGTAATAGGTATAAATTCGTTTGTAGCTTCTGTGGCGATGGAATATAAATTAAACGGAATGACGTAAAGCATTCATTATACTCGAAGATTCTGCTATAGCTAGTCGCAAAATATTAGAATCGTATTTGGATGGTATTCAGGATCTGATGAACATGCCGATTTTGGAAATATGGAGCCGGTGATAAAAGATCCATAAAAAATATTAGTGAAGTGAGTAGTCTTTAAGATGGAATTGAAGTGAGAAAGGATAATCACAAAACATCAAATTGTACATGGCATATAATGAAAAAGGACGTCGAGTATAATTTGAAATCTTCGAAGTTATAAGTCCTCGTAAATTTAGCCGAGCGGGTAAATTTCATTAAGCTAAGTACATTGTATACCGTAAGTATCTGTGACACTCGTAAAAAAAACATACAATCGGCAAAAGTATTGAAATGGCGAAAGCTCTCAATACTTAGTTAGCTATAAGTGTCCTGGTGCCCAATCTTCTAACTACGCCAATATTATCGAGAAAAATAAATGTTAGCAAGTACTGAGCAACGATACTAGAAACTCGAGAAAGAAAGTTGTTGCTTAGCTATATGCGCAACTCAAGTCTCCAGTCAGTAATTCCAAGAACTCAATGCCCAACCGTCTAACAAAAAGAAGCCTGAAATTTTACCTGAAAAAAGTAAATTAAATTGTTAGAAAAAAGAAGAGTTTGGACTCGGCTTTAATTCTCCGGTTTTAATCGAGTTTAATATATGAAAAATAACGACATTACTAAAATGCACCTATGGTGTTTAACACCTATGCATTATCTCAAAAACTGGCTAATCAAGCAGTGTAAGATGTTCTAAGTGAAAATGTTCTATCCTTCCAACTAGGGATGGGTACGGTTCAGTGTTTAAAATTCAAAAAAAAAATCACTTGCACAAATGCATTTTGTGCAACTTTTTTTAAAAATTTTACTTGCACTCTTAAGAGATTTTTTAAAAATCTAAAAAAATCTAAAAAAAACTCTTGCACGTGTGCATCTTGTGCAAGCCAATATTAAACACTGGTACGGTTACGGTCATAACCGTTGTGACCCGTAACCGTTGCTGACCGGTCAGAGCGGTTTAACTGACCGGTCAAATAATGACCGATGCCAGATTCTTTAAAAAAACCATGATTTTGTTTCATATTACAGCTGTTATCATAAATTCTGGGACACACTGATAAAAATTTGCTTGAAAATTAGTATTAGTGCTGGTAAACAAATGACGTAATTGCATGATTCCACATGATTGATGATCACTGCTTTTGTCAAATTTGTAGATCATTTGACCTATTGGAGATTAGTTTAAAATTCATCTCCAATAGGCCAAATGATCTGCAAATTTGACCAGAATTAGATTGTTTTGAAAATGTCACTCAATTTTTACTAAGTAAATCTCCATACTTCTAATTAAAGTTGTAGAGGAAGAAATTCTGATTATGATGATAATAAACTGCTAAAATTGCCCAATATATCATGAGATATGAATATTTTAATTTTCGCGATCTTATTTAAGTAAACAAAAAAAGAAAATGTATAGTCGCGAGAATTAAAATTCTCATATCTCATTATCCCATGGGTCAATATTGATTTTTTAACCATAATCATAGCCAAAATTTCTTCCTCTACAACTTTATTAGAAGTAGAAGAAGGGTTTACAGAACAAAAATCCAAATAATCGATTAAATAATCGATCGGTTATGACCGGTCATTTAACCTTAAATAACCGACCGCGGTCAACCGGTTGACCGTCAATAACCGGTAATGACTGACCGTGACCGACCGTGACCGACCGAACCCATCCCTACTTCCAACAACCCTTCTCTAACCCTAATCCTAACTATAAGTACTACCTAATGTAAAAAATTTGTGTTAAAACTTTTATATACGTATAAAATATAATACAGTAGGTGTTAAACACCATAGGTGCATTGTATAATATCTCAGGTTGCAAACTCTATCCCTAGGTGAAAATTAACAGTAAACTTTTTTAATAACTACAAGATCCACTTCAATGTTTTTAATTTATTTTAATTTATTTTGATTTTATGTATTTATAGAATTAGAATAGAACAATTTTCGCCAAATTTAATCTAGTCGTTAATAAACATAAACATTAACATAGTCAATCAAAATTGGTTTAATGATGGATACGTACTTACAGTATGAATAGTAGAATATATGAAAAAACTTATTCTGGACCACATGCTCACGTGATCATACTGATCATGGGCATGTCTCCTCGGTCCTTCTGTCGCTAGAGTCCAGAGTTATAAGTGTCATTTCTGATATTGTAAATATTTATATCGTTAGTGTCATAAATAAGGTAAATATTGCTTTGATTATGATCGATACTCATGAATCATAATTAGTGCTAGTGTCACTCTTGTTTGCATGTATACAAAGGATGCATACAAAGGCATCTATGTACTTATCGACTCCCTTTAATAAATAAAAATACTTTTCCGAATATAGCTATAATACCCAATTATCCTCTTATTCATTTATCCATTAAGCTATTACATACCACAACGTGGCCCTGTATTACTATGCACACGTAATTCCCTGTATTAGTTGTTCATTACCAGTCTTTGAGGTTAAGATCTTTACTGTTTTAGCCAAAAAGGAATTACGATCAAATCCCAGACCGATCAAACAAAATTTATACATCCAAACGTAACCATAACTATGAACAATTTTTATAGGCTAAACAATCAATCATAAATAACAAATTTAATTATGCAAACAAAACACTTTTATTTAGTAAAAGGCTTCGATTATTGCTAACACTAGTACACAACTAAATGCACATATTAATGCTTTTGATTTTCTGGCTTTAGCTGAAACAAGTAATCATTATGGCAAAAATCATTTTATCCGTTATGATTTTTTGTTTTTGGAGCCCACCATGGTTTACGAACATATTTGTACTTATAATACATGGGCTTTGTGGTTTTAATCTCATCCTCCCTAAGAATATCTTCATGATTTCGCACCACAACGGTTAAGTAAATTAATAATACAATTTTTTGATGACTGAAAATAAAATCATAAACTTATCATGACCGATTTTATAATGAAAACAAAAGTTTTTAATTTTCTAATATTCCTAAGTTTCGTAGTTAACTCAAATTTAGGTCCGGAAAAACAATATAAAAACAAGCCTTCGACCAGATTCTCAATCAATAGTTGTCCACTTGTAACACCAAACTGTAAAAAAGGCATGCAAATGTTCTCGGCTTATTCATTTAAAATTGATTGGTTTATTCTACTAGAGCTGATGATCCTTGTTGCTGTAATTTTGGCGGAGAACTCCCATTCTCCAATATTAACACCTGACGTTGATAGGAAATGATGGATCTCCTTTAGTATAGGTGGGCATATATAAATTATTACAAGATTATAATATATAAAACCTAATTAATTTGAGCTAATTTAAACCCTAATCTTAACCCTGACCCTAATAATTTATAAAATTACTTAAATTAGTTCAAAATAGTTAAGTTATATATATTATAATTGTATAATAATTATATATGCCCACCTATACTAAAGATCAACCGAAATGAACATTGCATTTACGACCATTGGTATAGTTCGTACTTCTACTCAATGGACAGAACGATTCGCCCCTTAAATAAACAAATTAGATAAAAATATCATTATGTATCACAAGCCAAACAATAATTATATATACCAACCATTTTATATATACTTGAAGTCATCATTCAGTTCCTCAACAATATATCCGCAAATTTTATTTAGTTCCTCATCAGCAAAATCCAAGATATCACTTTTATTCTTATATTTGTGAATGCTTTCGGTTTACTTCTCCTTTAAGTATCGTTTAAAAGACAAAGAATTTATACATGAAGATAAACAAACAAACACTAATTTTCCAAAAAATAATAAGTAAATAAATAAAACTTACATCTTCGAATGTCTTCTTTTTCAATGCTAACTCAGAAATTCGTAATATAAACTCATAGTATTTCATCATAAATCTCTTATCATTGGAGGAAAACCAACTCTTTATGTGTGCAGATAAGTCAATTATGTTTGATGCTCCATAACGTAATGTGGCTTTCTCAATAATCGTTGCACTAACGTTCTCAGATATTTTTTCGAAATATATATCCGCGGCATTTCGGACTGTAGGCAACATCCATATTCTTAGGTCATCGAAAGCAGAGCCATATTGAACTAAATGAATTATTGAACGGAACAGTTCAAACGTTGAAGTAAAGTTTTGATTTTTTTCGATTTCATACAATTGATTCTCTGAGGATATACCATCATAGTCATCTTCATTGATTTCTTGAGAAGAATCATCTTCATCATTCGACGTTACTAAATTTAGAGACGCCGGCCTTTCGATTTTGCTTCCATCAGAGAGTACATTCCCCTAAAACAAAAAATTTTAATTTTTATAAAAAGAAGGTAAGTTAAAAATTAAATTACATCCTAACCTTACTACTTAATAGCTGATTTTTTGCCTTTTTTTATAATAATGAATGATTCTTTCATTAAAATAACGTGCAGCTCTTTTCTCGTCATACTGAAAGATTAAATTGTAACAAAAAGTTATTTTATGCTTAATTTCTAGCTAAAGCGTCAATTATATTGAGAATTTACCGAAAAAAAACTGATTAACTAAATCCTTTTTCTTAGATCCCGATGGAGCAAAACTGTTTCTTACGACTTGCTTATCATTATTCATGTCCATTTGATAAAGTAATATTGCAAGCGCAACTGTAGATTTCGTTGATGCACCAAGGCGTAATAGAATGATTAATACTTAAATTTCAAAACTTTAATTACCGTTAAGATCATATAAACTTACCGAAATAAAGGAATTAGCTATATCAACAAAACCCGAAGAGTTAAAGCTCTCTTCTATATTTGATCATCAAGGTATTTGGTAAACTTAATATGATTCGAAGAGTTAAAACTCTCTGATCATCAAGATATTTGGTAAACTTAATATGATTCGATCCGTATGTAATTCCTTACGTGCTTCGTTTAGTTTGATTTTCTGTCGGTTTTTTTTTTATGAAAAGGCTAACATATATGATTCGTCATGCAAATTAAATGTAAAACTCAAAAAATGGAAAGAAACATACCGAGTTGACATTTATAATTATAATCTACAATAAACAAAGAATAAGAAGTTAATAAATGGTTTAACAATTATTTTGCAGTGATTATGAGATTTGCTTGATTTGCCGTGTACACGTTAGAGTTGTCAGAAATGACACTCAGAGTTCCGTTCAACACAAAAAAATGTGGAAGAGTACTCCATAAGTTGTACCCCTAAACCAAGCAACAGTTTGAATAAACAACTTGAATAAACAAGCTTGAATAAACAAACTTGAAGCGGGAAACAGCAATCCGTATATCGTTAGGCGCATTGCTATAATAGCAACCCCAAAGTTCCGTTCGACACTTAAAAGTGGAAGAGTACTTCATAAGGTATACACAAATCTTGCTCTAATTAAGAACAAAAACACTTGCCTTTAGTTTGATTAGTAAACTTTTAGTGAGTATCGGTATCAAGAAATATATTAAACTACACGTAAAAAAGTTTTCGCGTTGACTTCTATAAAAAATATTTATCCATTATTTCTCTGTGGCTTCCGGAAAAATTCCAAGGCTATAAATCCCATGAAAATGAAACATAAATAAACACGGTCACTTGATAATTGGTGTAACACAATATAACGTATTGACCATGCCCGAATTAATAGGGGTGCAGTTTACTTATTTGCGCGAGTAGCACAACTAAAAAAGGAAATCGAATTTTGTAAATAAACTGCAGTTTACTTATTTGCGCGAGCAGCACAACCAAAAAAGGAAATCGAATTTTGTAAATAAACTAAGTGCGTAAAGATAGAAGTTTAGGGTTAGGGAGTTGACATTAGAGGCTATAATAATAAATTGTTATTTTTTACTTCCTTCGCACGTTTTAGGGGGTTGTATTACTCGCGTGCGTGCGTGAACTCGAGTCCAGGAGACCGTCCCAAATTAGGAAATATTTACCCAAGTCACACAATTGATAAACAATTTTTTTATATGTTTTACAATAAATTTATATCATGTGAAACATATCACATGTTGATTAACCAATAAAAATTGTAAATTTTTTTAAAATAAAGAAAATCGAAATTAAGAGAAATTTAATTAAAATTTATAGTTAATGTTCCATGATAAGTGCCTCTCAAGGTAAGTAAGCAAGTATTTATTAAATTTTTTTAATAGTATTTATTTACAAAACCCCATTAATCTATATACATTAATTATATTAATTCTACATTTAATTTTATGTCTAATTCTACATTTAATTCTATGTTACTTATCTTTAACATCTTACACTATTCTATTTGATTTTACACAATTATTATTTTATTATATTGTGTATGTATCATATCAGCAGATTTGTGGAATAGATCTAAATTAGGGTCCTTGGATTTAACAATTGCAGAATGCATAATAGCTAAAATTTTGGGGTCAGTTTTACAATTGCATTGTTAAAATATATGAACCTTAATTTCTGTCAATTCTGCAAATTTGCCAATATATATAAATTCTTATTATATTTTAAAAGTTTTTTTAATAATAATAATATTACTAGGCGCTTGAGATGTTTAAAGGGAGTTATAAATTTGATGTGTATATCTGTATATTATAGAATATTTTTAGTACA